ACACTAGGCTGAGGCTCTTCTCGCACGGTTGCTTACAAAACACTTAAGGGTCAGTAAAAATAATTTTTTTTCATCTTTAGTAGGAGTTCACTAATTTGCAAGTGATGGCATGCTGGATATTGTGATGAAAAGGTTAATAAGCCATGATCTATGGCCGCCGTCAGAGACAATCCTGTCTGATACAAAGATTCAGAATCATTATTATAGTAATAGGAATTATGTTAGTACTATTTTAATAATTACTTAATGGTAATATTTAATAATAATAATAATAATAATTACGTTCCAGACTCCATGCTAAGCAATCTGCACGTATTAGCTCTCTGAATATGGTCATCAACTCTGGGAGGTAGGTAACATTACGTTCATTTTCCAGATACAGAAACTGAGCTTTAGGGAGGGTAAGCATCTTGTCCAAGGCCACACAGGCAGTCATTGATGAAGGTGGGAAACAGAGTTTTGAAGCCTGACACACAAGAACATAGAGATCAGTGCACAAACGTTTGCAAGATACACATGCAATATGTCCCTTTCTGTCACTTGAACATTCACTCAGTGGCCTTCTAGTGAGGGAGGTAGAGAAGCAGCAAGTTCTGTTGGAATTGTGGTATGTTGTTTTACTTGTTGGGGAACAGAAGGCTTAGTGGAAGGCGGTGTGTTTTAGGAGAAATAAGTAATTGACTTTCCCCATGACCAGAAGCTACTGGGGCGGATTAAAAAGAGTACATCCAAGATGTCCGCCTGGGAGGTTTTCTACCTGCTTTTCTGCTTCTTGTCCTGTACTTTTGGTATTTATTCTGCTCTTAGCGTCAGTGAGTCAACGGCCTGTTTTTAGCACTGACTGTGTACACAGATGTGAACCCTGACTGAGCAGGGGTGTGTAATTACCGTGGGCCAAATATGTGTGCTAGTCTTTCCTGCCAGCAGTGGGTGAGGAATTGTGGCGTGTGTCTGGGGGGGGTGGGGGCGGGGGGGAGTGTATGGAAGAACAGAACATATAAAATAAAATTATCTATAAATATCTTTAATTCATTTTAATATAATATTTACTATAATATCATTTAATATAATATCATTTAATATAATATCATTTAATATAAATATCATTTAATTCATTTTAAGTCTCAAAATCGCTCAAGGGTATTTTTTTTTTAATTGGGCAATTCAACCTGTTCCCCTTGGCACATTCTGATAAGTTCATACATGGAAGCCTGAGAGAAATTAATCTTTTAATGCCTCACAAGTGAAAAAGGAAACTATAGAATGATGTAGCTGGAAGGGACCCCAGAGATCTAAAGTGTTTCATGGAATATTCATGTCTTTGATGTGTTAATAGGTGTTTTGCAAAAGACCTTACTTTACCATGGTCAGGTAAGATGTGGAAATGCGAGGTTAAAGTTAAATAGGTTTCTTTTCTGTGGAACTTCACGGTCTTTAATATGCTAATGTGCTTTGTGAATCTACAACACTTATTTGACCCTCCCCCCCCAATTCTTTTTGTGGGAAATGCAGGTCTAGCTGAGGCAACTAGTGTAATCTCTCTCAAGATAGCGGCTGACACCTTTTCGAGAGCAAGGAAGTCCCAAGGGGAAGGAAGGCTAGATCAGTTGCTCCTGTTACGTGCCAGGAATTCTCAGGGAGATGCCTTTCCCTAGAGGCTCAGAGAAGGCTGAGAGGCACCTCGGCAAACAGGGCTCCCTTTCATGTGAGTTTAGGTAGAGAAGCATCAGTTTAAAAGCTCTCAGAGCTTTTAGTATGAAAATGTGTGCACTGTAACACTTCAAGAATGAGGTAGAGTGTGTAGGATTTTTAAGTTGCTTGACCACGGAGCTCTTGCTTTGTGGGGCATGTGGGAGGCAGTCATGTTCTGAGGAGAGCCCTTTGGGAAACACTGATCTAATCCGACCTTCTCATTTTACCAGTGAGCAGCTAAGGACAAGGCATTTCTTCAGTGGGGCCCTCTCAGGTTCCTTTCTCCATCACTGTAACACAGTTATTGGAACTAACTTGACCAACTTTGAGGACAGCTTTGAAGAGATTTCTTTAGTTATAAACCCTTTTTGTACATTTCAAGGGTAAATTTACTCTCTATATTTTGAATTTCCATTGTCAAAAACCACAGATTAATTCAACCAATGTGCATAGAATATCGCCTATTCCCCAAAGACCCTTTCCATACAGTGGTGGTCTACAAAGATGTAAATTACTTCTTGAGGGAGAGGACATTGATAGTAAGGATAAATATGATATGGATGGCAATACTATGAATATCTAACATTTATCGAATGCCTTTCTGTTTGGCAGACACTATACGCCAAGTACGTTAATCCTCCCAACAACGAGTGAGGTGAGGATGATAATGATTCTTATTGCGCAGTGAGGATATCAGGTGAGGAGAGGTTAAGGAATTATTCCAAGGTCACATACAGCTGGAGGAGAGAAGCCTGTGAAGCGTTCCTTATCAGTGATGCAAAGTAGCGAAAAGAACAATAAGTTTTGAAAGACTTGATCAATCAGTGCAAGTGTCACTTACGCGGTGGACAATTATGGTGCTCACCCATCTCTCCTCCCTCTGGGGAACAACACCCCCTTCCTTTGGAGTAACTCCAAAGACACTGTGGGGTCTGGCTATGTGGTGGGGCACATTGCTTTGAGCTGGACCAGTCTTTGGGAATATGGGCATTAGAACCAAGGGAAGAGGTTTTCCTCTTGGCTGGTAAACTGTAAAAGCTTGTCTGAGATGTGCATGCCTTGTCCTTAGCCCTGTGGAAGGGGCTGGGCTTTGGTAGGAGAAACAATGTTGGAGGTGGAGAGATGGAAGAGTAGATCTTCTGGTCACCTCTGAGGCTTGGAGGCTGAGTCCTTCTCTTCTTTACTGGAGCAGAGGATTTGCTACCTTCTCTTCTGGGAATGATACTGCCCTTCCTTGCAAAAGAAAATGTTACTAGACAGTGATTTTTTTTTTTAAAGATTTTATTTATTTATTTGACAGAGAGAATGAGATAGAGCATGAGAGGGTCAGAGGGAGAAGCAGACTCCCCGCTGAGCAGGGAGCCCGATGTGGGACTCGATCCCGGGACTCCAGGATCATGACCTGAGCCGAAGGCAGTCGCTTAACCAACTGAGCCACCCAGACGCCCTATTAGACAGTGATTTAAAAACCCCTACGCCATAGGGATATACACAGATCCTTAGAAGTGTTGAGGTTCCGTCTGTTGGGTGCTGCAGGGGAATGGGCTCTTGAGGGCCCAAGGAGAAAGTGGAGGTAAAAACAAAAATATATTAAAAAAACCACAATGACAACCCAACTTCAGTGTTTAAGAGGATAGCTAAAAAGTCCCAACAGGATTCTGTTGGTGGCTTCAGTAGTTTCCCCATCACACTTCAATGATATTAATAAAAACAAGAATTCGGACTGACTGCAAATGCCATCTTACCCACTCCCTTGATCTCCCAGAAAGCCTCCCTTTTCTCATCTGTAAAATGGGAATGATATGAATGCCATTTCTTCTTCTTTTGTTTGAGTCTCCAAAGAGAAAACAGATGCAAAGCCTTTTGTCGACTGCAAAACAGCATGTAAGTGTGAGCTCCTATTCACACTCATCTTACTGTGATCAAACACTTTCTAACCCTGCAGCAAGTCAAGTTTGGTCCCAGCAAGTGGAGGGTATTTGGGGGGAGGAGAAGCAGATTTCAGGACAGTCACCTTAGTGGGTGCAAAAATGCTTGTAGGGTGAAAGGTGATAGAAACAAAAAAAAACAAGTAACAGTTGTTTCTTCCCTCTTTGGATTGTATCCTTTTGGTCCATTCTCTCTTCGCTTCTGTTTTCTATGGAATATTTCTTGGTTTGGGGTTTTAGATGGACTTTATGGAAACAAGGCAGAACATCCCTAGCCCCTGCAGGATGAGAAGACGCATGGAAGGGACACAGAAGAGTTCCTGGTACCCTGTCCTTGTTGAATTTGAGTTCATTCATTCATTCCCGGTAGGATATTAAACAGGGCTTTACCCTTCTCCTATTGAAAATGATTAATCTGGGTAGGAGCTCTGCAGTGTGGACAAATACAGTGTGGGGCCAGCCTGTTTCTAAGCATGAGCTGGGCTAGGGAGGGTGAGAGGAGTAAGAAGAATAGAGAAATACGTGTCTGTGTTGCTGTTGTTGCAACCACCACAACAAACGGGGGAAAAAAGTTTCCACGCTGCAGATCTCTCCGCCTTGAGAGAGCCCAGGGAACAGTGTGGATGGCTGGGTGGGATTGAAGGGCTGGATCGAAGGGCCTGACAGTCTGTGATTCCCCGCAACAAATGGTGGTGGTGGCGTGTGTACTCTCACACACAGACACACATGCAACGCTCAGCCTCCAATTTCAGCACTGGCAGAAGATAACAATTCTCAGTTCGCCTTTCCAGGGTTATTTTTGGCTGGCGCAGTTCGCTGGTGGCAAAAGTTTCAGCCCCCTCCCAACTCCCTCCCTCGCCCTTGTTCAAAAGAGAAACTTGGGCTTGTTAACGGCTCACTTGCAGGGAGACCCGGAGACAGGGCTGTGCTGGGAGGGGAGAGGGAGTGGGGGTCTGGGAGAGGCCCACAAATCCTGCTCAAGCTCTCACCTCCCCCCCCGCCCGCCCCGGGCTGTCTTCTAGCAGGGGCTGTGCTCCCGGAGAGAAGCGATTGCTGGGGAAGGCTGGGGCCAGGCGCGCAAGCAGGGTCGCCGGGGGCGGGCTAGCCGGCCCTGGGAGCGGGCTCTGGGACACCCCGAAAGTGAGTCCAGCTGGGGCCCAGATCCTGCTGGCGCCTCGGGCCATCGGGCTGGAGAGGGAGTTGGGCGGGAGCAAACTTTCTGGGAAGGTAGAGGCCGAACTCTGCCCGGGCGGCGCGGAGAGGGAGCGCTGTCGGTGCCGCGGGAGGGCGCAGGGCGCAGGGCGCGGGCCGGCTGCGGAGGGGGCCGGGGCCGGGGCGCGAGGCGGAGCCCGGGCGCGCAGCCAAGCCGGTGGGGGGCGGGGGGGGCCCGGCGGGCTGCAGATTCCCTCCGGCTCCCGGGAGCCGCGGCAGGACCGGCCAGTAGGCGCCATGGAGGGGAGCCCCATCCCGGTGCTGACGGTGCCCACCGTGCCCTACGAGGACCAGCGGCCGGCCGGCGGCGGGGGGCTGCGGCGGCCCACCGGCCTCTTCGAGGGCCAGCGCAACTACCTGCCCAACTTCATCCAGAGCGTGCTGTCGTCCATCGACCTGCGCGACCGCCAGGGCTGCACCATGGTGGTGGGCAGCGACGGCAGGTACTTCAGCAGGACGGCCACCGAGATCGTGGTGCAGATGGCCGCGGCCAACGGGGTGAGTGACCTGCCCCGGGCGACCCTCGCCTCCCGCCGCGCCGCCGCAGTCCGCGGGCCCCGCCCTGCCCCTTCCAGCCTGCCGCCCCCCCGCGCCCCCCTGGCCACTGGCTCTCCCAGGTCCTCTCCTCCCGGGTCCCCGAAAGGCCTTCAAGGTTCCGCCTCGAGGGAACCTGCCACATCGCCCTGAGCCCTGCCCGGCTCTGCCCACGTCCCGCACCTGCCCGCGTTCCTTTTGGGCCTTCTCTTCCCCAGCCCTTTAAAACTATCTGTTCTGACCGCATTCACTACCCTCCCTCCCCCCACTTCTTTCCTAAGCTACCAACATAGTGGTTCCCCCCTTCTTTTTTCTCCTGTGTCCTATTTGCAGTTCTCTTCTTCCCCCCCTAAATTTTGGCTCTGCCAGATTTAACAGTAGTGTTGTCTCAAACACACGCGTGCGTACACACACACACACACACACACACACACCACTCCAGTGTGGATCCCTGACATGTTTGGCAAGAGTAGACCCTAAAGATTTTTAATATACGTGGTTCGTTAACCCAGTGGAATTACTTCACTATTAATCTGATTGGGGTAGGGCTGGGGTGGAGATCACTTTGATGGCATACAGCCTGGGCTTTCAGGGTGTGTGTGTGTGTGTGTGTGTGTGTATTTCACTGATCTGAAATGAGGCTTGCCATGCCTTTCTTAAAGCAATTCCTAACTTCTCTGCAAGAGGCTCTTTGGCGGTTGACAGCATTTTGTACCTCTTCTCCTTTCAGTTTTCATCCTCAGTTCCTCTCTCTTCTCCCACGACCTCTGCAGACCTTGGGTTTTTCTCCTTCTCCCTCCTTCCTTTCTATCCTACAACTAGAAACCCCTTCTGGCATCATCCCCTACTCCCGTGTCCTCCTTCCCAAATCCCGCAGCCTCTGCGGACTTCTGCAGGAGGGAGACCTCACTTCAGGGGTCTTTGTGGGAAATGTCTAAAAGAGTCGTTTCAGCCTTGTTCATACAGTCAGATCCCCACACATAGTACATTTAAGCAGAATCCCTACAGATGTATAAATGAGTGCGAACATTGAAAAAAAGTGAAACTAAACAACAGTCTAGCTTGTGGATTCCCTTTCTCCTACCTGAGCCCCTCCTTTTAATTTTCTCCCTTCCTTCCTTTCTTTTTGTTTTTCAATCTTTGGTGTTGTCCATGCTCCATGTTTGTCTACTCTGATTCCCCTCTCTCAGTGTTTTAGGGGTGGGGAAAGTGGATTTTTTTTTCCTAAATAAAATAACCCAAGAGCAATTGGGAGAAAAGCGCTGAGGGGTGACATGGGTGGTGGAGCTGGGATTTCCAACCCCAGCAGATGATGCGGCTGGTGATACAGGACTTGTATTTCTCTCTGGCTCCTTACTTGGGATTGATAAACGTTGGCTTGAATCAGGGAGTTGGAGAGAGGTTGACAAATGGTCTTTTACTCTTGTCTGACAAAGCTGTTCCCCTGGAGTGATGGAGAATAAGGAGCCTTGGGAGAGCGGGGGCAGCCCTCATTCTCCTTCCTGGGCCAATTTTTCCAGCGAGTGAGAGAAACATCCACTTACTTATTGTGGGTGAGGATATTTTGAAGGTGAGGATCGATTTGCATGGGCAAGGTATTATTATGCTTTCTTATTTCTTGGCACACGTTCCCATGAGGACTCTTCAACTTGTTACTTCAATGGGTCTTCTCTGATTAATACATTTTATTAACTTTAAGGGTGGAGTTTATTTTAGGAGATAGTTAGCATGTTAATAAATGGTTAAAATAGAGCCATGCTTAACCTCACCGTTGTTACAAGGACAGAATGACAAGTCCTAATCCACCCAGAATCACCATCTCTTCAATAATCTGAAAGTATTACTTCTAGAATGGGTGGGTATGGGTGAAGGGAATGGTCAACATTTATCAAAGTTTCAGGCAGCAAGTTTTAACCAGTCTTTTCCTCATTTTGTTCATCTTCTTGAGGGCTTTAACCTAGAAAATATCTCCCTCTTTATTTTTATTCTTTGTTAATGAAATTAACTTACTGAAGAGGCTAGGTCGATTGGTTGTCCTGTAGAATGCCCCCCTCTGCTCCCCATTTCTGAAATTTTCTGATTTTTTTTTTAATGGTGTCATTGAACTTTTCATTATATTCCCTGTGTGTGTGTGTGTGTAAGTAGAAATTAGTTCTAAAGTCTTAATTAGATTCATGCTCAACAATTTTTTTTTTTTGGAAGACTATTTTGTAGGCGATGGTGTATATTCATATTGTATCGTGTCAGGAAACAATCTCTGGGTGACCGGTTGTTCATGATACTGAGATGATTATAGGGCTGTTGTGGTGATTGCCTCTGTTTTCCAGGCTTTTCCCCCTCGGAACAGGCCAGTAGCCTGTGGGGCGAGGTTTGTACCATGTGAATATCTAGTTCCAGTCAAACTTTACTCAGTGGTTTAGCATCCTGGCTTGAGTAGATTATTTCATTAGCAGTTTCAAGATGATTTTTGAATCCTCTAATTCCATCTACATGCTTCAGCTAGCATTTTTCTAAAAACTGGGCATTTTCCTCACGATTGGGCTCTCCCGTAATATAGTTCCTTCTAGAAAAGCAGAATATATGTTTATTTCTCTCCCTTTTTAAATTACCAATTTTCAGAGTCAGGATTTGGTGAAATAGCCACTTCCACTGTTGACACATGAATTTGTTTGGCTTTGCTTTTGCTCTTTTGAGTATCACTGTGGACTCCTGAATTTTTATATAATCCATTTCAATGGATTTGTAAGTAAGTGAGAAGACATTTTTACCTGTTTTTGTAATTTTTATATGGCTGTGTGAACTTATTTAAAAAGTCCCCAGAAGTATTTTTATTCTGACTGTGTCATAACATACAGGGCAAAAGAAAAATAACTACTAAATATGAGAGTAAATAGCATCATTTAAATGAATTGCAAAACTTAGTTTGTTACTTATTTAAACTTAGTTTGTAAGTAAGTGATTTTTTTATCCTATTTCTTGTTTTTATTATTATGTTATGTTAATCATCATATCCTATTTCTTTTTCCATCTGCTTCAGATACTCTTCAGGGGTTTAGATCCTCTAGGTATCAATTTATTTTACTCTCTTAAAGATTTCAAGAGCTAAGTGTAAATAATGGCTACATTATGAATAAACACCTTTGCCTTTTTCTGGGTGAATCCGTCTGTGACTAAGGGCATCTCTCTCTTTCTCCTCTTTGTTTTAATCTTTTTTTTTTAAGTCCTAAAATATCTTTAATATTGGACAGATGGCAGCACTATGTCTGCCTGAGATGTTTCTGACTTTTTCTAAAGTCTTCTGTCTCTGGAGATGACACTATAAATCATCACTGTCCGACAGAACTTTTAGAACTTTTTGAGATGATGGAACGGTTCTATAATCTATCCTAGCCACTAGCCACATGTGATTATCAAACACTCGAAATGTACCAAGTGTGACTGAAGAACTGAATCTTGTATTTTATTTAATTTTAATTAATTAAAATTTAAGTTTAAATCACTGTAAGTGATTAAGAGCTATCATAGCATATCATATATAGCACAGCTCTATAAGTTAGCATTTAAAATGTGGAATTTTTTTTTTTATGGATGCAGACTGTTACATCCAGAAGCAACTGTAAGTTAAATAAAGGTCGGTCACCAAACACTACAAATGCATATTTGGCAAACCCAAACCAGATTTCTTCATGTGATAACCACACTCTCTTTTGACTTGAGCCCGGGAGACAATGAGGTATGGTAGACAAAGCACTGTATCAGCAGCTGGAAGGCTCGCTTCCTTTTCCTAGCTCTGCCATACAAGTTGCCCAGCAAATGCTTCAGCCTCTGGAAATACCTAGAAACCACTTGTTTCCTCATCTATAAATTGGGTATGAGAGCATGGCTGCGTTATCCTGGGAATCAAATGAAAGTGTTACGTAACATCCATAGCTTTAAGAAACGTAAGGGAATATTATTATGGTCAACTGAATATATCTCACAAAATAATGATTTGACTGCATGTATTGAATAAAACAACTTATAGCTCCGTTGCAAGTTTCAGCCAAGAGAAAATCCATTTGTTGATTAGCTGCACACTATGCTGGCCATATGATGATCAGCAATGGTAATAATCATATTAGCGTACAGTTCAGCTTACAGAATCAGTTCAGCTTACAAGAACTTCTCAACGCCTTGTGAAATCTTTCAGAGGTGGGGGTCGAAGTGCAATGGTATGAAGAAGGCTGGGTCAGCATGGGACTTCGGAGTGCCTTCCAGATGGGTGCTTTTACCAGTCGTGTTTGATTCCAGTGGGCCATGCAAAGGTGGTTGTTCCAAAGAATGGGAGTGCACTTGCCCTGACATTGACTGGAGCCATCTGGGGAACAAATTTTGATGTGGTCCCAAAGAAAGGAGCATAGGTTTGGAAGGGAGGCAGAGTGGAATATGGCGGTGTGTGGGATGTAGGGAGGGAAGAAGTAGGCAGCAAGAGGGGGAAGCCTGTGTTTCAACATATAAGGCTTCTTTACTGGGAGGGATATGGAATTCTGGGATTGGCTGGCTTCAGGTCTTGTCTCCAGAGGGGAAAAAGAACTGGGTGGTGATTGTTCTGTATTTTCTACTGGTGTTCACTACGGAATAGGTGAATGGAATGAGTTACTATGGCCCAGACATTAGGAAAGGCAGGCTTGTAATATACAAGAAAGCCCTAAAGAGCTTGTCATAACTTTCTCTCGCTTCCCTTCCCAAATCCCCATCCCTGGATTGTGGAAATGGGAAATCTATTATATGAGCAATAGCCAATTTTAGGGTGCCCTTGGTTCCATCTATCTCCCTGTTCAGTTAGCTCATTCTTGAATCTTTTAGCCTCAAGTCGTCATTCACTTTTTTTATGGGGAAGGAAAAGGAATGGGAGAGGTTTTAAGAACAGCTGGGCCCTCCCAGTTGCTGGGGTGGGTTATTTTAAGCTTTGTTTAATGTGCCCA